CCTCTCTCTCCCTCTCTCTCTCCCTCTCTCTCTCCCTCTCTCTCTCCCTCTCCGTCCCTCTCCCTCCTCCCACTTCCTCTCCTTCCCTCCCCTCCCTTCTCCCTCTCATTGTTACACAGCCTGACCTGAAACTAATGCATTCCAGTGAAACTCCTGCCTCATTCTCACTAGTAGCTAGACTATAAGGCACTCACTACCACCACCACGATGCTGGCTTGTGTTTTTTGAATGAGTAAAAGTCAGAACATCTCTGTGGAAACAACCTTTTTCAAACTTGCTTTTTCTATGTCGACTAGAGATATTCCATAATAGAAAAAAACAAATAATGCTCACTTTTTTGGGGAGGGTACTAGGGGTCAAACTCAGGGGCACACAACCACGGAGCTACATCCCCAGCCATTTTCATTTTGAGCCAGTGTCTTCCCAAGTAGGGCTTGAACTTGTTATCCTTCTGCTTCAGCTTCCTTCCCTCAGTGTTGGGATTAGAGGCATGTACCACTATAATTGGCATAATGTCCACTTTTATTGTTTCTTCTTATATATGTCATTTCAGCTTTTATTGTCATTTTGCCTTTCACCAAAGTACAGTGTATGAAATGTCAGAATACTGGGTTTATACTTTTTTCTTGCCCTCCCCTTTTAAAATGAAGTGTAGTGCTTTCATGACTAGTTGTGGTAAACAAATGGCTGTACAGTACAATATAAGACAGGTGTTCGTTACAGACATGCTCCTATCTGTGGGTACACCAGCTATTCCTCGTTTAGGGTACCTAAGTTTTTTCTTACTGAGGTTTCTTTGTGATTGTGGTTATTACTTTTTGTTCTCAGGATACTCTTAAAAATTGCCATCTTATTGATGTCCTTCCTAATAATGACTTTCCATATTCTTTTTGTAGTACTTTGTCAGACTTTTATCAAAATGGGGTTGCTGTCTTCATTCACCTGCAGTGATGAGTTTAGCTCCTTGAGACTGCATCACAACAGAGCTATTACTCATTTAATGAGGTCTGCCAGAGAGAGAGTTCGGCAGGTAAGCTCACAACACTTGCACTTCGAATATGACAAAAATACATTTTCATTTAAAGAGAACTATTTTTGTTGTTGTTGTTATTTGAGACAGTTTCACTATGTAGTTCAGGCTGGCCTCGAACTCATAACAGTCCTCCTGCTTCAATCTCCCAAGTGCTGGAATTACAGGTGTTTGCTACCAGAGAACTACATTTTAAAGCATGAAATTATATACAAAAGGTTTTTTTTTTTTTCAAAAGGTTTTTAAAAGTAAAAATTTTGTTTATTCAACGGTATTTATTAAGTGATTGCTGTGTTAGACTCTTTTGTAGATGCAGAGGCAAAAGCTTTGAACAACATGTTTGAAAATCCTTCCCTTCACAGAGCTTGTATTCTAACAAATAGTAGGAAAAAATGTGTGGGTTTTTAGGACATGATAATCTATATACGAGAAACATGAAGTAGTGAAAGGACTTGGCAAGTGTTGGGAGGGGTTGCAAGGCTTTCACAAAGTGTGGCCAGGGAGGGTCTTGCTGAGACAGTTAAACTGAAGATCTGCAGTTGACAGAATGATCCCCGAGTGTGTATGGAAGAAAAGCATTCCAGGCAGAGGAGCAGTAAGTGGAATGGCCCCAAAGTGTGCTAGTAGCAGTGTGATGGTGGAAACTGGGTGGTGACATGGCTGGAGTAGAATAAGCAAAGGGGAGAGTTGAGAGAGAAGGGGAGAGAGAGTAGGGAGAGAGGACAGATGGAGTAGGCTCTTGAGACCGTCTTAAACCATGCTTGCTTTTTACTGAGTAAGCGGGGGAACATCGCAAGATTTTGAGCTGTGGAGTGACATAATCTGACTTACATTAAGGATAACAGCTGCTAGTGCTTTGAAAATAGACTGAGGGGGTCAAGGACAGAAGCAGGAAGATGGGTGCATTCATACAGACAGGTGATATGGCTTGGAATGGAGTGGTAACAAGCAGTAGAGACAGGAAGAGTGCTTAGTTTATGCATATATTTTGAAGGTGAATTCAACATTTGCTTATGGAGCTCCTTGGCAAAGAAATTCTCAGGTTTAAAATATTTTTATATTAAGATATTATTTTTAATCTTAATAATGCTATTTTTAAAAAATATTGTTTGAGCATTTAGGGCTGTTAATGAGACATTGAAGTTTGATAGATTCCTAATTCACACTTTTTGAAATCATTTTTTAAAATAATTTTTGATTTTAGGGTTCTTGTGAGGATAATTCTTACATGCAGAAAATCAGGTATGTGTTAAATACTTTTCATTGTGCAAAGTCTACACTACAGTCAAGATTAAAGAAATATTAGTTTTGGAGTTAAAAATGTTTTAGGGTACTTTATGAAATTTTAAAAAACTTTATTGTCAGGACAGTACAGTTTCAAGATTTGCTTTATTTTTTGGTATATGTGCTACTAGTATAAGTGAGCACTTGCTTTACTTTTTTTTACAATATGTCCTTTCTCTTTGATCTCCTGTCCTGCATTGAATATGGATTCCCTAAGCTTCACTATTTTTTTTTTTTTTTTGGTACTAGAGTTCAAACTTAGGCCATTGCTTTTGCGGGAGGTGGTAGC